TTTTGTATGTATCAGGGTTCAGACTGTCGTGAGAATATTGCCTTAGTTCTCGGGCATTATGCCAACGACATTAAAAGAATTCAGTCGTCAGATTTTAAGCTAAAAGGCAAAATAGTCAGGTTGTTCTTAGGTGGAGATTTATTCAGCCGTGGGCATCCTTAATTGGCTCTGCAGCTCTACAGCATCAGAAACACTTAACTGCCTAACTAAACCCAACTTATTTGCAACACAATGAAACATAGACTTTTCACAAGACACAGAATCACAAAACAACATAGACAAATCACTTTCCAAATCTGAACAAGCTAATAATCGAAGGAATATAAAAGCAAGTCTAGATCGTCTAGCTGCAGCATGCCTACCTAACTTAGAATAAGATTTACCATCTCCTAACTTAATGTAAGTATATTTCTTACCAACTATTGGCTTTTTAACTGATATAGTCTGTGGATTACTTAATTTAAACCCACAGAATAATTCAGAGGAACCAATGTTGTCATAGTCTAAATAAGAATCAACGACAACTAAATCCTTATCACTGCTAGCAAAATATTTGCAAATTTGGCAACTGTTCTTGTTTATATCACTGATTTTTGCATTTTTTTTTTCAAATTTAAATTTTTTTAGCAATCTTACATTTTTGGCACGAGCAGATGCAAATTTACGGTGTGCTGTTTTTAATTTTTTTTTTTTTAAAAGTTGGAACTGCTCCTCCTGTTTTAGCCTAATACTCATAGTCTCTAATTGAGAACTTAATGAGTTACAATGTGCGTTGAGAGCCTTGTTTTTAGAATTTAAATATATAACTTCAGTTTCCAACTTTGATACCTGTATTTTTAAATTATCTATTTGCTCCACATTATTTTTTTCTTTAGAAATTAATTGTTCAACTTGACTACTTAGTTCTTTATTCCTATTTAAAATATAAAAATTATCTGCATCTGCTGATTTTTTTTGTTTTTTTGTTTGTGGAGCTGGAGACAGTTGCATTTTAAAAAATGCTTTGTTTTTTGAAGCTTCAAAATACTTTTTAGAATCTTTTTTTCTTTGTTTTATTTTTCGGCACATTTTATTTAACACATCAATATTAGGCATATTAAACTCAATTGGCAAAAGAAAACTTAAAAAAGTAAACAACGCTTTTGGATGAAAAACTGTTAATAAAATTGAAATCACATTGTTAGTAATCTTACTAGTGTCAATTACTCGCTTTACAAAATTAAAGTTATACTCATTTTCCCAACCATCTTCCCAACCGATGTACAGTTTCAAAATTTCCCTCTCAGTTGCATACATCACATAAATAATGATAATGATATTATAATAATAATATAATAAAAGAAATTAAATAAAATAATATTTACAAATAAATACACTAAAAATAAAAGAATTAAGCAACTTATCTGAGATTAGTCGAATATCCACGAGGAAATAATCCACGAAACTTTGCTTTATAATCTTTATTGATATAGTAATAAAATTATAATACAAACAACTTAAATAGAATAATATTGACAAATAGATGCACTAGATAAAATCGGATTAATCAACTTATCTGAAATTAGTCAAATATCCAAGAGAAATTAATCCGCGAAACTTTGTTATTTATTCTATAAAATGTGTCTCGTTTGTTTTGTTTGTTTTCTTAAAATGCATCCGATAATCGTTGGGGACGTAACGATCAGAGTTTGCGTCACCGCTTTAAAATGTAAACAAGAATTTATGCAAAAAAAACTAAAAAAAATGTCGCTAAACATGCCAAGTTTGAAAACATATTTGATAACATAGCTAGAGGTACAGAAAATAATTTTTTGATTTTCTTATTCATATAAGGTTGAAGTATTACTAAATCCACAGACTTTTCAAAAATGTTATGTTTTTTATTCAAAACGAATAAAAACAAAAATATAAATGCATTAAAAACTAACTTTCTATATAAAAACTTGCAAAGTCTGTGGAAATCTAGATAGAACAGACATTCATTAATAACTGTTCTAAATTTCAACCATCGACCATGTAGCTATGTTATCAAATCTTAGTTGGCCTAAGACAGGTTTTGCGTAAAAATCGCAAAAATCAGAAAAGTGATGCCAAATTATTAACAATATTTTTACAGCTTTCATTTTTATTCCTTTTAATGTAAATGTTTATTTAACAAGGAAAGATAGATCTTTTATATTTTTTTTATTTGAAGATGAAAGCATTTATAGAAAAAAAATACTGTTATTTTAAATTTAATGAATTTTTATACTTTTTATGCGGAAATACTTTTTTTTTTGATAAACTCGTGACGTCAGGCTCGCATTTATATTGAGTGAAACAGCCGTGAATAATGCTTTGCTAAACAAAAAAGATGTCCTAAATGAAAAAACTACAGAAAATCGTAACTATAAACAAAAGAATAATTGTGCAATAAATTGTTTATCAAAAAATTGAAGTTTTATTAATTTGATCATAGATTTTTGATGAGTCAATTAATAAAATACAGTGTTAAATGAGTAAAATTTTTGTTAAGTGATTTTCTACTAATAATGTGTATATTGTTATATTGATATATATATATATATATATATATATATATATATATATATATATATATATATATATATATATATATATATATATATATATATATATATATATATATATATATATATTATTATTATTAAAAATATATATATTTATAAATTATTATATTATATATATATATATATATATATATATATATTCATTTATATATTATATATAATTATTATATTATATATATAATCATTTTTTTTATCTTTTTCAAAAGAACAACTCTCTTGAGAACAAACGGCTAATTATTATTGCAAGAAATCGATGTAAAAAGGTGCTTTCTGATGCTAAACTCCATTATTCTCAGTTCACTAAATCTCGCATCTTATCGCAGAAGTTAGGCTCTAAAGACTTTTTGAAAATCTTCAACAGCATTATTAACAAGGGTAGATCTAACATTCCATCTCTCATTCATGGGACTGATCTTATTACCTCTCCCAAGAATAAGGCAGAACTGTTTGCAAATAACTTTTCTTCTAATTCCACTCTTGAATCTTATGGACATTCTCTTCCTTTCTTTCCAGTCAAACAGGTTCACCTATTGTTAGACATTCAAATCACTCCGGCTTCTGTTGCTAAAGTCATATCTCAATTAAACTCGTCTACAGCTTGTGGTCCAGACAACATTCCTGTCGCAGTCTTGCAGAATTGTTCTCCCGAACTTTCTTCAATTCTCTCTAAACTATTCACCAAGTGTTTGACTGAGTCTTGTTTTCCTGCTTGTTGGAAAATGGCATCTGTAGTTCCAATATTCAAAAACTCTGGAGAAAATTCTGACCCTTCCAATTATTGTCCGAGAGTCTTCTTTCTGTTACTAGCAAGGTCTTTGAGTCTTTAATCAACAAATTCCTCACATCTCATCTTGAGTCAAATAAACTACTGTCAGACAATCAATACGGTTTTCAATCCTCTCGCTCTACGGCCGACTTGCTAACTGCTGTAACTGAAAGATTTTATTGTGCATTAGATGGAGGCGGTGAGGCTAGGGCGGTTGCTCTCGACATATCTAAAGCTTTCGTCAATGTTTGGCATGCTGGTCTTCTCCATAAGTTTGCTTCATATGGTGTTTCTGGGAAAGTTTTTGAGATTATCAAATCATTTTTTTTTAACCGCTTTATTAAAGTCATCCTTGAAGGCCGACACTCTTCTTTATTTCCATTAACTTCTGGGTTCCCCAAGGTTCTATCCTGGGTCCTGTTTTGTTTCTTATCTACATAAACGATCTTCCTGACAACCTTTCATCTAAAGTAGCTCTTTTTGCTGATGACTCAACTTTATACTCCTGTCTTGACAAAAAGTTCTCTCTTTTCAATCGCCTAGAACAGGCAGCTGATCTTGAATCCGATCTCACTTCATAAATAGATTGGGGTTCACAGTGGTTTGTAAATTTCAACTCTAAAAAAATCCAGTTGCTTACTGCAAACAACTACCTTATTATTGTCAACATTTTTATATTAATGAATGGCAATCCTCTTAAAGTCGTCCTCTTTATGTCTTCTTGGATTATCGCTTACTACTGACCTTTCATGGAAACCATATATACAATCGATTGCTAAATTAGCTTCCGCTAAGGTTGCTTCTCTTTATCGTGCTCGCCCATTCCTTACTTCTGATTCTATTCTCTACCTCTACAAATCTCTTATTCGTCCCTATATGGAATACTGTTGTCATATTTGGGCTGGTTCTTTTAACGATTCACTTTCTCTTCTTGACAAGGTCCAAAAACGCATTGTAAATGTTGTTGGACGTGGACTCTCTGCTAAGTTTGAACCTCTTTCCCATCGTCGTAAAGTTGCATCTCTTTCTCTTTTCTACAAATATATCATGTTCACTGCTCAAAGGAGTTATCATATCTAGCTCCATCAACTAAAATTCATTCTCGTTTTACTCGTCATTCAGCTAAGTCTCATTCGTTTACTGTATCTGTCCCTGCATGTTCTAAAAACTTTTATTCATCTAGTTTTTTTCCCCGCACTTCAATCCTTTGGAACTCTCTCCCATCTTCATGTTTTCCTGATTCATACAACCTTCAACTTTTCAAGTCTTCTGTCAACCGTTTCCTTGCTCTATAACTCTGTTCTTTTTTTTTCTTAGTAACTCCTAACTTGATAGTGATTGCTTGCAGCCTTGTTGGGAGTGAATGCAAATATATATATATATATATATATATATATATATATATATATATATATATATATATATATATATATATATATATATATATATATATATATATATATATATATATATATATATATATATATATATATATAATTATTATATTATATTATATATATATATAAAATATTATATATATATATATATATATATATATATATATATATATATATATATATATATAAATTTATGCCTTTATATAACTTTTTGTAGCATATTAATCTTAAATTTCTTATTTTACTTAGGTTTAAATGTTTTAAGATCAGCGTTAAAGATTAGTAGAGATGGAATATCACAATCAAGTCTTATAGATATTCATAGAAGTAAAGATAACGATGAAGTTGTCGGTAGTTTCTTTAAATAAATCAAGAATTAAAATAGAGTTGCTTATATTGGTTTATGAATTCTTATTAATGTTTTTTGCTTGCCTTTCTTTCAATGCTTTTTTCAAATCTAAAGGTAATAATAATTTAATCGTTTTACAAACTACATAAAGAATTGGCTGTGTTTGTTTAGATGAAGACATTTAAAACATGCGTTTTAATCTTATTAGTAAAAGTCTCTTTGTAATTCTTTAAATTCATATAAACTTATTGTTGTTTTATTTTTAAAATAAAACAACAATAAATTTATTAAGAATAGCTTTATTACAAATATAATCGGCTGGACTTCCAGAAGATCATACGATCTTTAAATGAAGCCCTTTTTAATATCAAATATAATAATGATAACAATAAAATCAAATTAAGCAATAAAAATCAACATAAACTATTTATAACTTTGCATTTAAAATATAAATAAACTGCAAAAACTATATGAAATATGTGAAGCAAAAAAAACTAAAAACAAGAAAAAATATTTTCTGCTGAAAAGATAACTTTTTTTAATTTTCGTTTGAAGGAAGTTAAAGTCCATTTTAATGACAAATCAAAATTTGGCAAAACTGTTTTATTCCATAAGTAAGGACCGCGATTAGAAATAATTAGTTGTTCAAATTTAGTTTGGCAGAAAGGTTGTTGTAGACTTTTTCTATTGCAAAGATTGTCTTTGTTTATGGGTTTTACATTATAAAGGTTTAAAAATACATCAGGAGATAAATGATTGTTACATTTTAACATAAAACACAAAATATTATAAACATTTAGTTCGTATACATTTAAGGCTTTCATTTCTCTCACAAGTGGTTTTGAGTTTGAAAAACGATTTTGAAAATTAATTAGGCGAGCTGCGTGTTTCTGATGCTGATAAAAGATTTAAGTTTAGTTTTGTGCGCGCTTCCGCATACAATATTTGCATAATTTAAATGGCAGTGGATAAACAAATAATATTGTTGTTTTAATAGTTGTTTATTTAAAATATGTCGAACTTTTTATATAATTTCAATACTTTTAGCACCTTTCAAGGAGATATTATCGATTTGTTGTTTCCAGGATAAGTTTTCGTCTCCAAGAACTCCGAGAAGTTTTGTAACTTTTTCCCTTTTTAGTGTTGTATTGTCAATGAAGAGGTTGGGCAGTGTATTTGGTAAACATTTTTTTCTGGATGTTGGTTAAAAAAGTGTCCATTTTGTTTATCAATATTGAGGGATATTTTGTTTTTCTTAATTCAATATGAGATTTTATTTAATTCTAGTGTCATATTATCAAAAAGTGTATTTATGTTTTAATACTAATTGAAATAGGTTTGTGTCATCAGCAAAAATTATAGTGGTTAAGTTAGAGACTTTGTTGAGGTCATTTATATATATTAAAAATAATAGGGGCCCACCTATGGATCCCTGAGGGACACCACATGTAACAAGCATTAATAAAGGCAAAAAAGAGTCTTGGATATTAACAAACTGCTTACGATTACTAAAATAGCTTTTAAATCAGCTTAGGGATTTATCTTTAATTCCATAGAGTTCTAATTTTTTTAATAAAATGTCGTGATCGACAGTATCAAAAGCTTTAGACAAATCGATGAATACTCCTAGGGTATAATGAGAATTTTTAAAAGAATCAGAAATGATGCGTGTTAGTTGAAGTATGGCGTGTTCCGTAGAATAATTTCTCTGGAAGCCGAATTGATTATTATATAAAAGTTTAGTAGCAACAAAATAATTGTAGACTCTGAAATAGGACAATAATTTGTAATGTTACAATGGTCACCTGATTTATAAATAGGAGTAATTTTTGATACTTTTAAAGAGTCTGGAAAGGATCCTTGAGATCCTTGAAGCTTTACAAATTTTAAAGAGTATATCTTTAAAAACGTCAAAAGAAGTCTATTATAACATTTCCATTGATGCAATCCCCAATTGCCTTATTTCGTTTTAATGATTTAAACGCTGCTTCAAATTCGCTGTATGTTTGGTTTGAAAAGTTAAGTTAGGCGATGTTATAAACTCATTAATTGATTTGTCATTAAGATAAGGAATTTTATTTGATAAGCTTGTTCCGATTGAAGAAAAAAATTTATTTAATACAAAAGTAATTTTATTAGAGTTATTATATAATTTGTTTTTAGTTTTTATTGCATTAGGTAATATTGTACATTTTTTATTTTTTTTCCGTGGTCTCTTTCATTTGTTGCCAAATAAGCTTTGAATTATGTTTATGCTTTGCAAACAAGTCGGAGTAGTAATTTCTTTTTGCATTTTTGCAGAGTTTTTCTAAATAATTTTCATAAATTAAGTAGTTATTTTTATGATTGATTGATTTATATTTTAGATATTTAATATACAGTTTTTGTTTCACTTTCGACGTTTTTTTAAGTCCTTTAGTAATCCAAGGACATGATACATCCTTTTGCGTTAAGGATTATTTCACGAATAGGAAAGTTTGCGTCATAAATGGATTTAAATGTTTAAAAATCGTAGATCATGTTTATATCATCATTGAAGTTAATATTGCTCCATTTTTGATTCGAAATTTATTCCTTAAAAGATTTTAAATTATTGTTACTGCATACACGCTTTTTTATAGTTGTTTTACCCAGAAGATTTAATTTATAGTTTGCCTTTATACAAAAAAAAAAAAAAAAAAAATAGAAAAGTGATCTGAGACATCAGTTTTAACAATACCTTTTTTAAGCTGCGTGTTAAAAAATTTTTTTTTAAAAAAAATTTTTTCAATCAAATCGTGTTTTAAAAAATTGCTTAAGAGTTCAGTTCTTCCTGTAGGAGGCCGATAACAACAGCTTAATAGATCGTTTTTAGACTTTTTTTTATAATTTCAATTGTCAAAATCCCTTGATCTTCATCAGAAACACTCATATCGCATCTAACGCTATAAAGAATGTTTTCTTTTATGTAAAAAAGTACTCCTCCTCGCCTATTAACTTCACGTTCTAAAAAAACCGAATTAAAGCCTGGGAGATGGAGATTAGAATTAGAACCAAAAATTTCTTTAGAACACCAAGTTTTCGTTAAACAAATTTTGTTAAAAATATTTTTTAGACTCTTATTTAGAATATTTACATGGATGACATTAAAATAATCACTATTTTGTTCCATATTAAAATAATTTTTCATTTTGTTTGGATAAATATTAGAGCATTCAAACTCAGGTTTATTAATATTGTTTAAATAATTCATATCTGGGTCAGATTCATCGTCTAAGTTAAAATGGTAACTTAAAAAAAAAATTGAAAGATTTTTTTAAAGTTATTGTTAATAAATTTAGCCATTTTCGTAGCCAATCATTTTGAGAAAAAAAAGATAAATATGTTGTATATTGTTTTAGAACTTAGTGGTTATTTTATTGTAAACCACTTTAGCGTATTTACCTGTGGTATGAATTTCTTTGGCTTCGGCGAAGAGTTGCTTACGAATATTAATAGTTCTTTTGCTGAAATCTTCGTTAATGTAGACATACTCGTTCCAGAGTTTCATTTTTTTGTATTTTTTAAAAATAAGTTCACGGTCTTTGAAATTTACCACAATAGTTCTTTTCCTTGTAATTCCTTTACTGTTATCTTTTCTCCCTGAACGATGTGCTCTTTCGATATACACTTCCTGCTTAATATCAAGTTTTTCTTTCACAAACATTTTTAATAATTCCTCGTTCTTTTTCCATGTCTCACTTTCTATTTCATTAAATCCTTCAAATCTTAAATTATTTCGACGACTCCTATCTTCTAGTTCAGCTAATCCTTTAAAATTTCATGTTGTGAATTATTTTTAGTTGTTTTCATAGATTTACTAAGTGTTTCGTATTGATGATTTAAAAATTCAATGGCTTTGTTTGATTCATTAAGTTCTTTTTTCAAGTCTTTGATTTCAATTTCATATTATTCAAATCATTTTCCAGTTTTTGAATACGGTCATTGAAGATTTTTATTATGGTATTCTCGTGCATTTCGAGTAGTTCTTTTACTTGAGATAAAGAATATTTATTTGTCATTTTAAAAAATTTAGTAAGTCGATTGATTTCAACGATAAAGTTGGATAATTTTATTCTATAATTATTCTATAACTATTCTATTCTATTCTATAATTATTCTATTCTATTCTATAATTATTCTATAAAATATTTTATAACTAAAATAATCTTTTTTGTTTAGTTTATACTTCTTAGACTATTTAGACTATACACAAGATATTTTTTACGAAAAAAGATTACCCTTGGTGTAATAATATTGTAATATTTATTTAAACAGAGATTTTTTGAAAGTGTCAAAAAATCAAATTTAAGAGAAAGAAGAGAAGTTTATAAGTTATTAAAATTATTATAATTATTATAATTATAATTATTATAATTATTATAATTATAATTATTATAATATCCGATTTATTACTTATTCGATATATGTAATCACTAGTGGTTGTTAGAAATGTTTTATTTTTCTTTATTTCATTACAATTTTTTATTTTTTTAATTTATCTTTATAAAGTTTGTTTTAATTTTGAAAGTATTTTATATAGGTTTTTGGATTGCTTTGGAGAACAGAGGATTATACATTGTGATAAAACCATTACCATTTTATGGAGAGAATGTTGTTTTAACATATAGGTTTTATTCAAGTCAAAGAACAACTTTACGTAAAAACATTTTTTGATGTTATCTTATAATGTTAGGATTATTTTTAGTTCATTATATTTTATAATTTTAAGTTACGCAATAGCTGTCATTAAGATTTAATAGGTAATCCCAAAACATTGGGGTACTGATAAAAATCAATAAAAAACAGATACTAATTATAATTTTTAAGTACTGATAACAATTTATAACTATTAATAACAATTATAAATATCACTAATAGAAAAATACAGTAAAAAAATGCTAATTTACTCAACTAGGAATCATGCAAAAATGAGTTTTAGCGTAATAAAAGTAAAAGTAATAGCTCCTTTGACATAAACCATAAATAAGAGATTTGTATAGGTATTAGGATTAAGATAATGGCAACCTAAGCAGATGCTAACTTTGCAATCAATTGTATATATGATATCTTTGAAAGGTCAGTAGTAAATGAATGAATTTTGTTAAAACTTAAATTCACAACCCAACATAAGCTCAAAGCTGTTACAAAAGTGAGATCAGATTGGATATAAGCTGTCTGTTTTAGGCGATCAAAAGAAAAGACTTTTGTCATGACAGGATTATAAAGTTGATCCGTCATAAAATAGACCCTTTTTAGATGTAAGATCGTACGGAAAATTATCAGCACAAAGACCATCACGAAGAAAATCACAAATTGATTTCTTGTAAACTTTAGGGTAAAAGTAAGAGGACGACGCTCAAGTAAGTTTGAAGAAGAAGTACAGGATAAAAAATTTATAGATTTAATATAGTCGAAATTCACTAAAGGAAAAAAAAACAAACTGAACACAAGCTAGGATCGGAGATGAAACACAAATCAAGGAGTAAATGTAAATGTTGTAGTAAGCTGGCGTCAAAAAAACTTTTTCTATTAAATATTTACAGTAAAAACTGTAGTATATGTGCTGTAGAAAAAAAATTAATACTAAAAAAACATAGATGCAACCAGTCTATTTTGAAAACTCTTTCTGATAACTTTTGTTTTGCATGTTTCCTTATCGCCAAATGTTGCGAATATTTTTTAGCCTTGGCTATGCTTTCTACTAAGTTTTTGGGGCTCAGACAGTAAAAGATTCAGGGTACTCCAATTTAAAAATTTAAAAACTGGATGCATCTTTACAAGTTTTTACTTTAAGCACAGATTATAATAGATAACTTTCTAAAACAGAATTTAAACTGATTACTGATACATTTGACAGTAATAGTGTTTAATATATTTTTATAATCATAATTTTAAAAAAGCGCAACACGACATCATTTTATTTAATATCTGCATGAGCGTAAAACTTTAACAGCTCATGCAGACAATAAATAACCGATGTCATGTTATTAAAAAAATAAACTTATATGTCAAAATATTTTTACAACAAACTAAGTTCTAATAGTTTAAGTTCAGAAAATAGTAAATATACGAGGTTACCTTTAGGAAATCTAGTAAGATAGGCTAAAAGGTAGGCCTTAATTTAATTTATAAAGTACGCTCTTTTACTAAATTTATTTCATAAATGAATTTCGGTATTATGATTATTTTTGTTTTATGATTAATAAAATAAGTAAAGTATGAGAGAGTAGAAAATTTGGAAAGTAGTTTTAAGAAAGTTTTAATAAAGGCACTAATAATGTTACTTCATTGTATTTTAATAATAAAAATAGTCATACATTCACCAGGAAGAAAAATAAGATAAGTTGTAAATGAATACTAAGGGTAAATGTATCAGTTGCTGAACCAAGAGATAACTATTTATAACATGTTTCACTAAAATCTAGTAAAATGAAAACATTGCAGATTGCATATTATTCAAAATACTAGTATTAGTTGCGATGTAAGCACAGGTTCTAAAGAAGGAGTAGTAAGAATTTGGAAAATCCATTAGTAGGTCCACCGTAATAGTTTATTTATTTTCTGCACACAAATAAATTTAATAATTATTTAATGAATTAAGGCATGTTTATACTTTTAACCTATTGTAGACAAAAGCCGATAACTTATATTGTCAAAAAATGCACTTCTTTGTCTCGGTCAGAATTACTTGTATATGTACAACATTATTGTTGCTAAAAGAGAAGGAAAGGCAACCCAAAGATATTTCCGAAATGAAACCTGGACCTACAAATCACAGTAGTCGGTTAACTTCCTATATTCGAACTTGAAGACTTTTTGTATCCGCATTTAAACAAAAAACTCAAGTTGTAAATAAACTTTATCAAACGTTTGTAAGTCAGTTTATAAAACTTTATTACTGATTAAGCTGGGACAGATGTAACATTATTTGTTGTGTTTGAGATTGTTAGCTTCAAGATATGGAGTAGAAACATTATATTTATAAGTTTATACTTGCTAATCTGATTAAATGTGAAATGTTTAGTTAAAAAAATTTGGCGCCTAAATTTGCTGCAAAAACCTTTTTTTGTTATTACTTTTACTTCCCATATTCAGTTGCTTAAAAAAGCAGTTTTAATCAACAAAATTATTTTTTCATCGCGGTTAAATGTTTAGGGTTGCCTGAAAAAGAGTCATAAAGTTAATTATATGAGGAATTGATTGAGAAATGCAGAAGTTAAAGATTTTAGTGCCAGCAAGGTCAGTTGCGTTAAAGCTGAGCCATTAAACGCAATGAGATTTAAAGTAACCAATTACAAAAATATTTGGAGAAAGCTAAAAAGAAAGGACATTTTATAAGAAATTTTATTTTATTTGAAATAACATCTAAAAAAGTGCAATTTAGAGAAAAAAGAGAACGATAAAAAACGAGGAGAAAGGTGATAGAGTAATGCGGTGCTGAGCAAAACAATATTAAAAAAATGGTTGAAGTATTCAAACCTGACTTCTCAACAAAAAAGTGGATTTATGCGTATGTATATGCCCAAGTCAGGTATGCGGCTATTGGAGTCTTTGCAAATCAAAGGATAGTAGTCATTAATGCTGAAAACAGAATTAGGAACAGTCGCATTTAAACTAGTTTTACAAAGAGCAAGAAAATATGATGATATTTGCTAGAAGTAAGATTCAAATGTTGAAAAGTTACTTCAAATTACGAAAATATTTGTGAAAATATAGTGATGATGATGGTTTTTTTCTTTTAATATTGTTGGTTACATTAGACATGTCTTAAGTTATAATGAACTTAGCTTATTTCTAGATAGAGTATAACATCCCAAAATAGGAGCTATGCAGGTGTCAGTCTTGCTAATTAATATAAGTCTTAACATAAAGCTAATTATGTAGCCTTGTTAATACACATCAAAAGCATTGAAAGGGAAATTATCCACGCGCAATATCTCACTGTTACTACTCTGATACTTTACGGCTGTTAATGGTATCAGCTTCTTTGACAGATTTCACAGACTTTTGTAAACCTCACTACCAGCCGGCATACGAGTCATTAAACTGCACCACACCGAGAGTTTTATAGCCGCTATCAAGGAGGCATAATTATAAATCTATGAGTAAAGTCAATAATAACCGTTATTCGTCATTCTATGCAGGAAACATAACACAAGTGTACATCTATGCAAAACAGAATGTTTTTTTAGGCGCAGTAGGCTAAACTAGTTTGGAAAACACGTATTAAAGTGCTACATGGAAAAATACTTACAAAAATAGTAAAGACTAAACAATATGGATTAAAATTTTTACAATTAAGATGAGGCAAAGTGAGGGTCTCAATGAGGGTTAGGCATAAACAAGAATTAATATGAAAACTTACTAAACTTACTAAATGAAGTCTTTAGTCAAAATATAGTTGAAATATCTGCAATAAAAAAGGCGGTTACCGGTTGTCACATTTTTACAACATAACTATGCATAATAAAATCCAAAATAAATGGTAAAGTTAAACGGTAAAGATTTATAAAAAAACACGAACTCATTAAAATGTGGTGAATGTCAAGGATAATATTTCTTGAAGCAATTAAATAACAAACAACCATTAATAGTGTGGCTACAACCCATGATAAAAAACAAAAAAACAAAACAAAAGATGATAATAGTAAACAAAACTTTTTTTACTTTTCTTTTAAACTTCTTCACTTCAAAAAAAGGCTACAAGCAACCATTCTTAAATTTGGAAGTCATTGGACAAGAAAAGGCTACAAGCAACCACTCTTAAATTTGGAAGTCATTGGACAAGAAAAGGCTACAAGCAACCACTCTTAAATTTGGAAGTCATTGGACAAGAAAAGGCTACAAGCAACCACTCTTAAATTTGGAAGTCATTGGACAAGAAAAGGCTACAAGCAACCACTCTTAAATTTGGAAGTCATTGGACAAGAAAAGGCTACAAGCAACCACTCTTAAATTTGGAAGTCATTGGACAAGAAAAGGCTACAAGCAACCACTCTTAAATTTGGAAGTCATTGGACAAGAAAAGGCTACAAGCAACCACTCTTAAATTTGGAAGTCATTGGACAAGAAAAGGCTACAAGCAACCACTCTTAAATTTGGAAGTTATTGGACAAGAAAAGATAAAGTTTGTAAAGCAAGATAACAATTTTTTGGGGAAATAAACTAGACGAATAAATATTTTATTTTACTTTGGGACAGTTAATCTAAAAAAATGAAACTTGATGAAAACTTCCGAACGACGAGTAACACGATAATGGATTTTTGTAGATGGCACAATAAACGCTTGTTCTTTAAAGCAGCGTCCACATTGATTAAACGTTATGTGACAATGATTAAACGTTGGGTGTAAAAGCAGATCCAACAATGCTTACAATGCTCTTTTTGATCCTTATCTAAATAATGAAGATTCGCTCGAAATTGTTATAAAAGTAATGGTTAGGATTCGATATTGCAGCACCACAACGAATAGGAAAACAAGGAGAAGAGTGATGCTTGACTGGGAATTGTCAAAAAGTGGAGAAAAAATTCTATTCAAGCCTGAACTCAACAAGTTACATAAGATACACATTTTTCAGCAGAAAAACTAAATATTTCTACACAATGGCCATCACAAAAAAACTTACGGACACAGTCACAGTATTTATAAGAAATATGGTAATAGGGTGATACTGGAAAGTTTAGATGAAGAAGAATGAGATAATAGTTTTAGAAGGATCAAACTGTTATCAGAAGCAGCTAGGGTATAAAGAAACGGAGCAGGTCTGGAATTAAAGGAACGGAGCAGGTCTTTCTCTACATCATTTTCAAGACTTAACAAAAAAAAAATACTTTGAAGACAACGAATATTAGTTAATGATAGAATAAGAAAAACTGATAATATTAGTTTTTTTTTGTGTTTTATAGTTTTTGATTGAATTTGCCTCTCTTAGACCTATTATATAATACGGAAGAACTAAACAACAGCCAACCTAAGAACTATAAAACTGAGTTTTAGAGCTATACCTTCATTTGAAGATAATGAAATGAGTTGACTATCCATAAAAAACATAGATTTAAGCAAAACACATGCTTTGAGTTATTAAAATCTATCATTTTTCATCCTAAACTGGAAATATCGTTTTATAAATACAACTGCGCCAGCATAATAAATGAAGAAGGGGTGCAAAGCTGATCAATAGAATCAGTATACCACTTTAGACTTTGCCTTTGAGATCTTTTACAAGACAGTAGCCGTGTGCGTTTAATATCTGCCCAAAAATGATTTGTTAAGCTGGGTTTAATAAATTTAGTTATAATTGAACCTTATTAATTTAATAAAACTAGTTAAATTAGTAAAAATAGTTGAAGTGAGTTTAATAAAATTACGCCCGGACCAGTGCTCTGGTAGAGGCTGTATAAAAATTGGCAAGTATTAAAAATTTTTTACTTACACACAAATACTATTTATATAAATATATGTGTTCAGAGTGTTAGACTGAAAAAAATTTAATACGGCGATTTTACGATATTAGGAATTTAAGTGTTGTCGGCTGGCAAAAAAAAAAAAAAAAACTATTTGTTATTCTAAACTATAAATAATTAAATTAACTGTAATTAATTATATTTTTTATTTGGCAGTTTTGTGTTTTTTAATTAAACTTTTGTATTTGTAAATATTACTAAAAGAGAGGTTTAAAATTAATCAAAATATAAATATCCTCTTTTATGTTTTAAGTAAATTTAACATAAATGATACGTTTATTTCAAGTTTCATTTTAGGTTTTTGTTGTTGTTGTTATTATTTTTCGGGTGATTTTCAATCAAATTTAGCTAAAAAAACAGTAATTTTAATTCTCTTTATAAAAATTGTTAATAACTTATTTTAAAGTATGTTTACTTTTATGCAAAAATTTCGTATTTATCCTAACTTAAAATAACGAAAGTAAATGTGTAAATAGGGGAAGTTTGCGTATGTTGAGCATGTTAATAGTTTCATAAGTTACTTTCATAATTTAAATTTTTTATCTTTAAGAATATAAACAAATAGTTCATTAAAAAAAATCTTTATACAGAAAAATGCGTTATATTCAATACACCCAATCATCTCATCTTTGGAAACCAGATTCCTAAAATGAGTTTTTTTCTAATGAAACTCAAAAAAAATCAAACTAACAAACAGTAAGCACAAAACAAAATTAAATAAAATTGCATCATTATTTGTATCATCTCAACCATAAAAAAAAAAAATCAATAATAATCTTTCCCATATCTAAAACGCTAACATTACAATCTTAAGCAACAATCTTAAACAACAAGTCTTAAGCAACAAGTCTTAAGCAATAATCTTAAGCAACAATCTTAAGCAACAATCTTAAGCAACAATCTTAAACAACAAGTCTTAAGCAACAATCTTAAGCAACAATCTTAAGCAACAAGTCTTAAGCAACAATCTTAAGCAACAATCTTAAGCAACAAGTCTTAAGCAACAAGTCTTAAGACTTGTTGCAACAAGTCTTAAGACAAGTCTTAAGCAACAATCTTAAGCAACAATATTAAGCAACAAGTCGTAAGCAACAAGTCTTAAGCAACAAGCCTTAAGCAACAATCTTAAGCAACAAGTCTTAAGCAACAAGTCTTAAGCAATAAGTCTTAAGCAACAAGTAAAAATCATAATTTAAATAGCATGACAACAGCTTATTTATTATCTCATGTAAACCATGGAATAAGCAGTAGATAAGCATAAAATAAAAAAAGTGTAAATAAATTTTTGAAGTATTAAGCAACAATCTTAAGCAACAAGTCTTAAGCAACAATCTTAAGCAACAATCTTAAGCAACAAGTAAAATCATAATTTAAATAGCATGACAACAGCTTATTTATTATCTCACGTAACCCATGGAATAAGCAGTAGGTAAGCATAAAATAAAAAAGTGTAAATAAATTTTTGATGATCTTGTTTCGTTATGATGTAATTACAAAATATTGAATAATAAAATATTTTAATGAGAATCGTTAATTTTTTTAACAGTAAAACGATCAAAAAATATTAACTATACAACCAAGTAATTAAATAATTATCACACTCGAACTTGTATGAATATCCGTAACTAAAAATTTTCGCGAAAAAATCATTAGTCTACCCGTAAAAGTGGATATACCATCTTATGAACCTGGTCACCTTACGCAACCTTCCCCAAAGAATTTTTAAATAATAAAAATAAATTTAAAAAATAACAAAACAAAACGCAAAAAATCGAAACTCAACTAAAATCTAGGGAATAACTGACGTCATTAAAAAAAAATTTTTTTATCTTTTTAAAATGACGTTGATTGTTAAGGAAACTCATTTTTTTACGTTAAAAAAAAAATAACATTGTTATTGAGCTTAATTCTTTTCTTTGTTGTGCGTAAGTATTACATTTTTTACGTATCTGCCGTAATATTTGAAACTTGAGCCTTATATAGGTTGCTGCTTTTTTACTATGATTTTTGAACTATGATTTTTGGGAATTTTATCCCAATAGGGAACTCGACGTTTTATACGTCGCTATTAGACTTGCTAACACCCTAGTAAATATGTGTATGTAAACAAATATATACATATATTATAATACTAACTTTTTAAAATAATTCTAATTTAAATACTAATTATTTTTTTCTCCAGTTCTTTCTTTATTTTTTTTTATTTGAATTTTAGTTTAATAATAGTTTGTTTTAATAAACAAAAAGGTTTTCTTAATTTCGATTTTTAGTTTAAACTTTGCTACAAGTCATAAATAAATTTTTAGGTATATTTTACGAAAATCTTCATGACGACATTACAGAGTTTAATTCCTTTCATTTTCAAGAAGAAACTTTTGAAAATTGGTTTGATTGTAAATCAAGTGTCCGGATCAATAAAGTTTCGCAACACCAAGTTAATACAGAAAAAGAAAAAAAAGTTTTTGTAAAGTTTATTTTAATTTTATTGAATTTCTTGCTTTGAGGTAGTCCACAAATTACGTCACGCTTAAAGAGAGGAGGGGTTAGTGGGTTTGCGACGACTGAAACGGAATTTGTTACTAAAAGTTTATCATTATGTGACTTCCTCGTTACAACATGAGGAAATGAGGGGGAGTATCTAGATTGGCCAAAAATTGTGTGACATTTTTGGACGCCCTCTAATGTTAAATAGTGTGGTTTAATACATTAATAAAAGTTGTGGCATAACTAGTTAAGCATTTAATGAAAACGCTGCTTACAAATACATTTTAAGCTCTAAAGCTAAAACTGTAGCTGAAAACACCAGTTAATGTTCTAATTAAGGTTTGCCATTTGGCTGCAATATTTAGGCATTAAGTTTGTGTTTGGTTCTGGATGGGCCTCACCTCAGCTAATCTTTTCATGTTAAAATTTAAAAACAGATAAACTATTACACATATATACACTTTATTTAGCATGTGTTTTCTATCCCTATATTTTTTGCTGATATAGAGACTTTTCCCCACAAAGAAATAAACACAAAACAATAACAAAAAAATAACAAGTTATTGTAAAACTAAATATTCTTTGAATCTAGATAGTATCTACTTAAATCCGATACTATCTAGATATGAAGGTTATTTAAAATTATACAAATATTTAATTTTAGTATGATCATATATTATTGTGAAATAAAAGGGTTTTGCAAAAAAACTTATTGCCATTAAGGTTTACTAAATATAAAACCGTAGAGTAAAAATTACACGGAAAGTAATCACATAAAAGACTACATTAAAACAGTTAAAATTTATTTTATTTTTTATCAATATCGTTTTATAAAGAGTTTATCAGATGATAAAGAGTTTTTATCGTCTTCACATTAATAGTTATATGATTTAAATTATTCCAATTGTTACAAACTCGATTTTAGAAAAAGTTATGTCATGCGTTACATTTTAGACTGTATTCTCTTGAGAATCTGTAGTTTTGATTTCTGCTTTTTTTTCTTTGTCTTTTACTCTGTTGGTTTTAAAATTTATTGGTTTTTGTAATGAGATTTGATAGTAACCATATACTATTCTTTACATTTGATTGAGGTCTCCACGAATTCTTATTTTCTTTAACGATTTCAGGTTAAAAACATCATGTCAGATTTCATATTTCATTTTTTTTTATGAAATATGGGACCATTTTTGTCGCTCTCTTTTAAACTTTTCTCAAATGATCTATATCTTGTTGGTGGTTAGGATTCCAAACGGAGACAGCATAGTCTAAATGTGGTCTTAGTATTGTCTTAAGTGATGTATATAATACTTTCATAGAGCAGACATTCTAAAAGCTTTATTAATCATTTCCAAAATCTGGTTTGCATTATTTGACTTGATTGTGCCATTTGGTTTGCTTTTATGACTTGATTGTGCCATATTAATTTATTTGTAATAATAATACCTAGATCTTTTTCTATTTATGTTTCTTGTAGTACTACATGTTCATTATTATTCATATTCATCATACTCATATTATCATATTCATTATATCATATGTTGCATAGACAAAATATCAACTTAAAGTTTAGATCTTTCTGATTCGTTGTTTATTGGAGCATTTAATTTGCTATCATCGGCATATAGTTTTAATTTTAGCGTGTCTTGTAAGTCATTAATATATATAACAAATATAATAGATCCTAAAACTGAACCTTGAGGATAACCGCTTAAAACTTCTCTCCACTCAGATGTAAGCTGACCCAAAACCACTCTTTGTCTTCTATTAGATAAGAAACTATGAAGCCATTTAACCAATTCTAAAGCCTTATTTAGATGGTTGTTTCAAGTAAGTTAGCTTCCAAGATAAAATTATAACTTCAAATTTCCTAGAACTTTTTGTAAGGAATGATAATTAAAATATTTTTTCTTATAATTTTTGATTAGTAAAAGTATTAAAAATTCTTTAAAAATATTATGTCAAATTAGCATTTTAGGGGTTTAAGTATTATTTTAAGTTATCGACCCCTTTTTTTGGAGGTAAGTGTACTATTAAATATCTAATTATTTTTTAATAAATTTTTATGATTTTTGTTGAGATCTATGAAGTTTTGTATACAATTTTATTTAGGAATTTTAATTATGGAATTTTTTTTCAATAGGACGAATGCATAAGAAATTATGGTAGTAAAACATGTATATCATTTGAGCCAATTATGAAGGTTACTTTTATAATCGTATTTTTTAGATTTTAAATGTATTACGATTCTTTATAAAAAGTCAATTGAATTTTATATATTATTATGATAAAATAAAAATCAAGTTTTTGTTTTTTAAAATATAATGAGGCTATAGGAGTACTAGAATTAATTTAAAAAAACGCTATTTTTTTACTAAAAACTGCAAATTATTTTTTTGAAAACTTTGCAAAAACTGCTTTCAATAAAAATTCTCATTTTTGTTTTTAATAATAAACATGGAATTAATAGAAATATGTTTCATGGCTCCACATTTGTCTTAGTCCGGAAGTAAAATAATAAGCACTAGTTGTGGCCAAATTGTTATAAAACTGAAACTTTACCCAGTGATTTCCTAAGGTGTACGTAAAAAAAAATCCCCTCTTATTTGTAACATAAATACTTTGAGCCCAATTTTGAAATGATGCGCAAAAATTAATTTTAAATTAGTTTTCCTTTATTATAGCTTTAATGTATACTGTTACAAAGCAATGTTTATGGTGAGCAATTTTAAACACAATTAATCGAATTTCCTTAATTGCGCATATAAATGTCAAATCACAGCATCCATTTAGCAACCTTTTACATTTTTACAACAATTAAAATAAACTAGCAATAAGCAACCCGTAAAACAGGTTATAGTTGGTCTGTTTTACATCTGTTATTTCTACAGGATTTCTGCAGACTTTATGTTTAGTTTTATTAGGCTTTAGTACGTGGTAACGATACTATTCATGGGTTTCAGTTAACAATTAAAGCATGATCTACTATATTTACACGGCCGGGTTAACTGGTTTTACGGAAAAAAATTAGGATGCCAGTTTTATTTATTTTAATAATCAGTTCTTTAAACAAAAGGCTTTCAAAATTATATATCATATATAACAATTTTCTTGTTATATATAATATTTTTTAATTGATTACGAATTTTGTTATGAGTTTAATTATGAACAATTTATTAATTTTGACAATTTATATACGATTTTATTTAAGCAATAATATTAATACATTATTTAAATTTATTTAAATTAGACTGCTTTTAAGATTATTTTTTTTTTTTTTTTGTTGTGCTTCAAAAAATTAGGAAAAATTTTATTCCTGCAAAATTGCATTCAGAGCCAACTATCTATAACAAAGAAAATAGTGTTTTTGTGTTTCCTGATGCTGTAAAAAGACGTAAATTAAAAAAAAAAAAAGTTTGTTAATAAAAAAAGTTGGTATCCTACAGTGCATTCAGGTGTTTGTAGTGCACAATTTGATTGAAAATTTTTAAAGTAAGGTGTTAGAATGACTCTTATTTTTGATCTTAATCTAATACCAACTATTTATGTATACGATGCAGTTGTTATTATCTATTCCAGGTCCATCAAGAAAATCTCCCACTATATGTGTCACAAGCATTCAAGATGAATCAGATATTTTTATGGAGAAAGATATTATCAAAGACCTAGATACTCATGTCCTTTTAGCATTATTTTCCAAAAATTTGACTCCAATGACTTATATTTTCGTATATTTAAAGTGGCATCTACTGATAATGCTCCCTGTATTGAAGCAATACAGTTTGATTCTACTTTGCAAGTAAAGTCTCATTGCATTGGATGTCAAATTCCTTTTCTTAAGTGATTTTACATTTATAAGTATAAACAACCAATATTTATTTAAAATTATTAATGAATAGAAAATAATCCTGTTGAAAGTGTGTGGAAAGTTTACTATTAGTAAACAAACACCAAATGCTATGATAAAAATATTGAAGTGTTCTGCTAATTTGAGTGATGGTTTACTTAATGAACGTTATACTTACATTTTAACAAGCGGTTTCCAAAGTGACCCTCTAGAACATCGATTTTTAAAATATAGACAGTGAAGTGATGAGTGGAGATCATTTCTTGTTGGTTTACATGAAGTTAAATCATCCGAGAAGATACTTCAAATTAAATCTCTAATATAAGAAAATATGAATTACTGGGTGTTAAATGTGAACCAGAGTTCTGTCTTTTTATTAGAAATTGATTTTGAAAATGATTTTTGAAGAGATTGATTTATACGATGATATCTAGAAAATGGCCACATATATTGCGGAATTTATTATGAAATAAGTCTTTCAAAAATTTGTTTCTTCTAAATATGAAGCTATATTAAGTCATGAGAAAGTCACCATTTGTCATAAGAGAAGAGAAGCATTTGTCTTCATTTGTCATCAGCATTTTAATAATGCTGTAGTATTATTAATAATGTAATTATAAACATATACTTTAATAACAAGCAAATTATTATTAAAGTGGGAAAAAGAAAAGACAAGATAGTTGCTTTTAAATCCAAAAGAACCAAAAAAAAATCTAACTTTTGTTGTTAATTTCACAGTGTTTTAAACTTTTATTCTGATTTTATAAATGTTTATAATATTTTATATTAAAAAATTGTTTTATTGTTTTAATAATTTCTATTTTTGTTATTCCAGCGGTTTCTTTGAAAGATTTAATAATTTAAAAAAAGCAAAAACTGGCCTTCTAATTTTTTGCCGTAAAAACCAACAAACCCGGCCGTGTAATTATTGTAGAGTTATCACGTTAACTGCCGAGCTATGTTTAGCTATGGTTTATTTCTTTGCCGAGCCGTAAATTCTGATATGATTAACTTTTGCCGAGGCTGTTTTGCATGGTTTCATTCCCATTGCCAAAGTTAGATATCAACATTTCAATAATTATAATATTTTTAATCAAATAAATTTTTATAGTACTATTTATACTGAATATAATTGACAAAAAATAAGCACTACGAGTATACTCGTACTTTGGCACTGGTGAATAGTTTATTTTCTCCAGTGCCGAAGTACGAGTGTACTCGTAAGTATTTTTGAGTATAACTCATTGTGGTGACTAACAACGTAGCTTATTTGATGCATTAGAATAGAGATGTGATAGAATAGAGTTGTGTTTTTTTTTGCACATGCACATTGGCAGTTATCATGAGTAAAAAAGGTAATTTATATTTCGATTTTTTAATTCTAGGTGTTTTTTTTTGGATATAATCTAAAATAAATTTGTAACTATATTGCTATGAATAAAGGGTGAAAAACCTAAGTGTGCATTTTAGTTTATAATGTTTTACATGTGAACTTGTAAAAATTTTTAGTATAAATAAGTAATTTTCCTTATACAAATATATAACTTATAAATTTATCTATCTAATAGTAGTTCAACGCAGATATTCCGCAATTGAAGCAGCACAAATAGTTATGGAAGATTGTGGAGATAGTGAAGATGATGATATTGAAGAATCAGACTCATCTTTTGCTTATGCTACAACGTCTTCCAGCTTGACTGCATCAGAATCAGAATCTAAAGATAATAGCACTGAAGAAAGTGATGACAATCAGTTAACAGAAGTTCATACAGCAGCCACTGCAGAACATTTTTTAATGCCTTAGAAAAGAGCTAGAACAACGGGTGGTCTTGCTTACAGACAAAATCAAAATAAGGCTCGGCAAGTAAATCTAAGAAATATTTTGCCTGACAAAACAACTTCTGAGACAAATTCATCTAGAAATTTAAATCAATGGAAAGATGAGGAGAATATTGTTAAGAAAATTAAATTTACTGCCAATCCTGGTTTGAAGATTAACATGGAAAGCAAAAAACCATTGGATTTCTTTCGACTATTTTTTACAGAAGAGCTTATAAATAGTATGGTAGTTGAAACTAATCGCTACGCAATGCAAGAAACCAATAAGCAGCGTCCGCTTAGAAGAAGCTCGCGTTTCAAAAATTGGAAACCAATAAATTCAGAAGATATGCGGCAGTTCCTTGGTGTTTTTCTTCATATGGGATGTGTTAAATTGCCATCCTTTGTACACTACTGGTCTAAGAACAGTCTCTATAGATTTCCCTTTTTTCTAAAAATAATGCCAACAAATAAATTCCAACTAATGTTACGGTTCTGGCATTTCATTGACAATGAAGATTCGGATGGTGGACGCTTGTGTAAAATTATTGGACTTATATTGATCACTTTAATAATACAATGGACAACATCTACTGTCCGAACAAAATATTTCAATCGATGAATCAATGATGCTTTGGAAGGGACGTCTTGTACTCAGGCAATATGTTAAAAAAAAAAGACGTAAGTATGGTATCAAGTTCTATGAGCTTTGCGAATCGGATGGTATTGTGCTAAAAGTAAAAATTTACTCTGGTGAGACAACTCTCGATAAACATTTGCTGGGTCAAACTGGAGCTATTGTTTTAGACTTAATGGAGAAGTTTCTAGGAAAAGGTTATCACCTGTACACCGATAACTTCTAAAATTCCTTTGAAGTAACAAAGCACATGATAAGTCAAAACCCATACATATGTGGTACGTTAAGAACTGACCGAAAGTCAAATCCAAAAGAATGTACAAAAGCTAAACTGAAACAGGGAGACGTTATAAGCAAAAGCAGAGAGGGTGTAGTGGTTGTGAAATGGAAAGATAAAAGAGGCGTGCTAATGATTAGCAACTTGCATTCGTTACAAATGATTGAAGTAACAAACAGGAGAGGAGAGAAGAAAATGAAACCCACCATTATAAAAGATTATAATCAATATATGTCAGGAGTAGATAATGCGGATCAAATGGTATCATATTATGATTGCTTAAGAAAAACAATTAGATGGTATAAGAAAGTAGCACTTCATCTCTTTGATATTTTTGTGCTTAACGCTTACTGTCTAAGCAGCAAACACGGAGTAGATAAAACAACTTCTTTGCTTAAGTTTAGAGAATTAGTTGTTACGGATTTATTGGGTGATTCCTTAAATGAAATTGTTCCTCGAATCACCAATAATAGTCTCCACTACTTGTCTTCGATACCGCCGAATGAAAAGAAAAAACTGCTAGAAAACCATGTCGTGTTTGCTCTAAAATAAAACGAAAAGAAACACGATATGAATGTGCTGTTTGTGAAAATAGACCTCCGTTATGCGTTGACGAATGTTTCA